AGAAGGCTTGGAACAGCTCATGATCCAAAGCACACAACATCATCTGTGAAACATGGTGGAGCAGTGTGATGGCATGAGCATGCATGGCATCCAGTGGCACTGGGTTACTGGTGTTTAGTGATGACGTGACAGAAGACAGAAGCAGCCAGAAGAGTTCTGAAGTGTATAGGGATATACTGTCTGCCCAGATTCAGTCAAATGGAGCATTGTTGATTGGGCAGTGCTTCATAGTGCAAATGGACGATGACCCAAAACATACAGCAAAAGCAACCCAGGAGTTTTTGAAGCTAAAAAAGTGGAATATTCTGCAATGGCCAAGTCAGTCTCCAGATTTCAACCCAATTGTTCATGCATTTCACTTGCTGAAGACAAAACTAAAGGCAGAGAGAGCCACAAACAAACAACAACTGATGTCAGCTGCAGTAAAGGCCAGGCAAAGCATGATTGTTTTATTTTTAATTCTGTTCTGGTGGCATACAGAGCCCAAATTATGAAAATTGTGTCAGTGTCCAACTATATATGGACCTACCTAACTGTATATTTATTATTATTATTATTATTTTAAAACATTCAAGCAACTGTTCCACATAAGAAAGAAATTCCTACAAGTTTGGAAAGATATGAGGGAATGATGACAAGATTTTCATATTTGGCTGAACTATCCCTTTAATGCTTAAAACATTTTTAAAGATCAGACAGCTACTGTAATGCTGAGGCAAACAGCAATCCAATCGCTGAAAGCACCTCCATGAAAGAAAAGTCTCTGCTAAGTTGAAATACATCTGGTTGTTCAAGCCACATACATAAACTTTACTCCTCCCAAACAGGTGTCAGAATACAGACGTTTGAGAGCTCCAGAATCCACACACGAATGAGTAAATGGGTGAGACACATAGATGGAGAATCCGTGAAACTCCAACACTTATTGCTACGTGTGGCAATGAGAGCATTCAACAAAGTTCACTGCCTGGTTTTGGCATCATCTCGGAAATGAACTCTGCTATATTTGCATATTTATATATTTGTGGCAATAGTAGATTGGATTTACATCCATTTTGCGAAGACAAAATTACATGGCAAAGAGTAATAAAAATTTGCATATCCAACTGGATCCTATCGAACAAATGACTAAGTATAAATTGGGCCAAAAATATATTCACATAAATGAGAAAAAAAATCTGGTACTTTGTTGTTGGCCCTTCTTTCCAATAATTTTCACCTCAGTGCATCACTAGATACAATTAGTCAGTCTAATTCCATCAGAGTGAAACTTTATGGCTATCTGTGCCTGTTAAATTGACTCACCTCATTCTGTTCCTCGTGCTCCAGAATAGCCTGCAGGAAGACTCTGCGCTCATGGCCGGAGGACTTCTGATCAAACATGCCAGCCTGAATGACTTTCTGATCAACGTTCAGTTTATACTTGGCCGCTGCTAGAATCTTCTCCTCCACACTATTAACAGTGCACAGACGCAGTACGCGTACTTCATTCTGCTGGCCGATACGATGGGCTCGGTCCTGTGCCTGCAAGTCCTGGTGATTAAAATCACAGTTGTGTGTGATTAACAATGTGTTTACATCAATTACAATCAAAGTGAGAGAATGCTATTAAGAAGGGGCATAGTGCACTCTTTTTGACTTGTGGAGGCAGATGGAGGAATAAATGTAGCTTTTTCGGGTGAAAATGCGTGCGGAAAAGGTCCAAACTTCAAGCTGCTACATAAAATATAATTCATCCAACAAACACCACACATAGATAAATGAATAAATTAACTAAAGGAAGCAAAAAATGCATACATTTCAAACATTAATTCAAAATGTATACTTCCAGGTTAGCTGGCATGAAAAAGTGCTGTGGTGTTAAGATGCTGTATTTCAAAACTATTTTAAACAGATTTTTTTTTTCAAATTATTCTGCATGTAGCTTTTATTGCCTTATATTAAAAACAGACTACATATTGAGAGACTACATGGAATATTAGACGAGACTACATGGTATACTTCCATATGTAGAATTTGGTTTTTTTTAATTATTAAGAAATTCAGAAGTATACACTACCATTCAAATGCTTGGGTCGGTAAGATTTTTAAAATGTGAAAATAAGTCTCTTGCTCACCACCAAAAATACAGTAAAAACTGTAATATTGTGAAATACTGTTACAATTTAAAATAATTGTTTTCTTTTTAAGATATTTTAAAATCTCATTTAGGCCTGTAATGGCAAAGATGTGATGACAAAGCATTTTGTTTCAGAATTTTTTGATTAATATAATTTCGATCGATTTTCAGCATAATTTTTCCCCAATTCATAATTACAACAAATAGTCACAAATTTGTGATTTATAGTTGCAATATCATTAAGGTTGCAATTGTAATAAATACAGACAAAATTATATTTTTATTTATTTTATTTTATTTCAACTTCCACAACTACCTCAACCAAGGTGTTTTACACATACTACAAGATGTTTTTGAAGTCTGATCCAGAAATGACAGATTACTGCTGAGCTGTAAACTAGCGATGCAACGGTCTCGTTTCTCTCTAATCACAGCAGTGATTCACACAAACCTGGTGGGGGTTCCAGTCGCTGTCAAAGATCACAACGGTGTCTGCAGCTTGCAAGTTGAGGCCCATATGACATTGTTTGAGATGTCTTTGTTTTTTTTTTTTACTTTTTTTTTATTTATTTTGTATTTCTTATAACATAACTCAGAAATACAAAAAAAACATTAAAAAAAAAAGGGGGGAAAAAAAGGGGGAAAAAATAAATAAATAAATAAAGAATTGAACATACAGGTCACCAGAGGCATCACATATAGTTCTTACATCCTTCTTATACAATTATTTTTATAATAGGGGTTACTTTCCCAATAATACCCCCCCCCCATACACACACAAACGGAGGAGGTATAATAAAAAAATAAAATAAAATAAACGGTTAATTGAAGTCCATAAGTTTCAGTCATTTTAAGTCCTTAAAGTTCAGTCCATTCAGTATATTTCCATTAAGTAAGTACTTCACATATATGAAGGGGGAAGAAAAAAAAAAGGTGGGGTGGGGGCCAATCACTGTAAAACACTTAACATCTATTTATGTACTATCTATTTTCCTGTGTATTAACCAGGACAGTTCTTATAAAATTTATCCATACCTAGTCTTAGAGAAAAGGTCATTTTCTCCATATCAAACATATCCTTTACAATCACCATCCACTCTTTTTTTGTTGGTGGATTCTCATCCAGCCATTTTTTGGTTATTGCTTTTTTACTAGCAACCAATAACAATCTGAGAAGGTACTTGTCTTGAGCATTAAAATCAGTTGGTATGTTTCCTAAATATACAGTACCAAAGCTATGATCAATCTTAAAACCCAGTATTGATTCTATTTCAGTGATTACCATTAACCAGTATGATTGGATTGCCGGACAGTTCCAGAATATATGAAAATAATCCGCCATTGAGTTGTTACATCGTCTCCAGCAAAATGCAGATTCTGGATTACCATTCTGTAAATATTTTCTTTTTGGAGTAATAAAGAATCTAATGACGTTTTTCCATTAGAATTCTCTCCACTGACCAGAAGTGGAGGTTGCATGCTGTGACTTACATATGTTTAACCAATCTTCTTCCGTTAGAACTATATTCGCCTCCTTCTCCCATTTTTCTTTAATATATAAGGTAGAGTGAGACTTAGAGGACTGTATACATGAATATATTTTTGACACCAGTTTCTTGTGAATACCACCTTTATATGCATCAGCAAAAACGTTTATGAGACTCAATTCAGTTGCCTCATTATTAATATTTTTATTAAAGTGATTTCTAAGCTGTAAATATCTATAGAAATCGTGTTTCTCTAAATGTCAGTCTTATGCACACCCCTTCAAGTAAAGTGTTACCGAAGATATTTTATATCCATACACTGAAAGTCAGTGGGGTCCAATGTTTTTAAAAAACAGTTGAAATGTTCTTCATTATATCTTGTTTTATGTTCTCCAGAAGAAAGAAAGTAATACAAAAGCAGAACTTTCCTTTTTGGGTGAACCTTTAAGGCTACATCCACGTTGATCTGCATATATTTGAAAACAGTGTTTTTGTTTTAAAACACTCTCTGTCCACATTAGTGTCTTTAAGCTTTTTCCAAAAGTTGCTCATCCACACTGACATGTCTGAAAATGCTTAAATCCCCTCGCTTTGCATGTGTAAAACAGTTAAAGCTCACTGAGATGACACAAACAGAACAGACATAATAAAATTCTCAAGCTATTCTTCTGGCACTCTTCTTCTTCTGGCTATATTAGCAAACTATCCCACCACTCACTGATGTAACGTCTAAAACACAAATGTCATCATTGTGAGTAAATATTCTGAGATTTTTAATGTGAAGATTGTATAAATTAACATTTGTCATTTAGCAACACCATGAAAAAGAAAAGCAGGCTCAACAATGCCGGTACAACCTTAAACAGAGGTGTCCAAGCTTGTTCCTGGAGGGCCACTGTCCTCCAGAGTTTAGCTCTAAACCTAATTAAACACTCCTGAATCAACTCTATAGGACGTTGGCACTCCAGGAGCAGGATTGGACACCCCTGACATTAAATAAGGGTAAAATCTACATCAAATGACCGAAAACCACCATTTTCACAGTTCAGACTATAATGTGAAAATAAATTTAAAGCTCAGTTTTTGCTTGACTAAAAGGATAAAGTCAAAACATAAAGGAAAAGATGCATTTTCAAATGTATCTGGATTAATGTGGATGTAGTGTCAAAGATTTTAACTCATTGGAAATAAAAAAGTGTCCTGTCCTGATGTACACTCCAGTGTTCTAAAACATATGGTGATACCTCTATGTGCTGAAACATGTAGGGATGATTACAGATCTTCTTCAGCTGCATTATGGTGTTCATTAAGGTCTTGGCTCCTCCTTTACCCTGTGAACGAAACACGTCAAGGTAAAAACCTCTGATGATGCGCTCAATCTGCACAGCAGCATAACAGTGAGTTAACATACAGCCTCTCTCTCTACCTTCTTGTCTTTCTCTGATCCATCAGTGAGCAGGATGCCTTTGCCCTGCATGTGCCTGTACAGAACCTTCTGGATGGCTGACATGTCACATTTGATGACATACTCCACCTGTGACAAATGAAGAGCCAATGCATCAACATAGCCTGAATTGCATGGCATATAGACTTCATTCAAACATTATTTTGAAGATGCTTTTCAAAACAAATAAATAAATAAATAAAATGGGGGGGGGGTTTGTTTTTTAATAAATACAATAATTTTGTGCAAAAAATGCAATGAAAATGTAACATTAAAAAAAATATTTATAGTAAATATTATATTTGCAAACTGAATTGTGACTGGATTTGTTTTCCATTCATATATTAAACCATTTAGTTGCTCTGACTGGGCACTATATGTTAATTTCAGTACATCCAATGCATATCTAGTTTTTTTACTATCATCATACAATTTCTAATAAAAACTGTTTAAAAACAACAGAGTGGCTACTTACCTTCTCAGGCAACTGAGACTCCACCTCTTTCTTCAGTCTGCGCAGAAGGAAGGGACGTAACACCTTATGCAAACGACGAATGATAAGGATGGTCTCCTCTTCATTTAGATCCACCTAACAAACACCAATGCAATCCGTAACAGAGAGAAACCTGATTAAGCCACAGTGTAACATATAAAACAGCTATTTAAAACTACAAGGGTGAAATATAAGTCTACCCTCTCTCCTGTCATTGCAAAAGGAGCATTGAACCACTGCTCAAAGGTGCTGCAGCTTTTGAAGATGGTGGGCAACAGGAAGTTGAGCAGGGCCCAGAGCTCAGGTAATTTGTTCTGCAGAGGTGTTCCAGTAAGTAACAGCCTTCTGGGAGCAACGTAGTGAGTGTTCAACACCTGTGTGAGCTTGCAGTGATGGTTCTTCATGCGGTGGCCCTCATCCACTATCATATACTTCCAGCGAATCTGGGAATTGGAAAAGATTCAACAATTAGAGCATAAAGGCACTGATTTTTGTACAAACGGGCTTTGCATTGGCACAAGCAACTCCAAGGTCATGGGCTTGAGTCCCAGGGAATGCATGAACATAAAAAGTACACTCCTGTACCATTCAGTTTGGAGTCAGTATTATTATTATTTATTTATTTATTTATTTTTAAAGAAAGAAAGAAATTAATACTTTTACATGGAAGCATTTAACTGTTCAAAAGGGACAGTAAAGACTTTTACAGTGTTACAAAATATTTTCATTTTAAATAAATGCTGCTCTTTTTAACTTCCTAGTTCCTCAAAAAGGTATCACTGTTTCCACTAAAATATTAAGAAGAAAATAAGAAGAAATGTTTCTTAAGCACCAAATCAGCATATTAGAATGTTTTCTGAAGAATCATGTGACACTGAAGACTGGAGTAATGGATGCTGAAAATTCAGCTAAGTTACATTTTAAAATCTATTAAAATAGAAAACAGAAACAGAAAATTTCACAATATTTCTGTTGTGCTGTATTTTTGATCAAATAAATGCAGCCTTGGTGAGCATAAAATACTTTTTTCAACAACATTAAAAAGTCTTACCGACCCAAACTTAGTTAGTTTATATATAGAATGCACTGTAAGTCACTATGGATAAAAGTGTCTGCAAATGCATAAATGCAAATATGTGGCCTTTACCTTGGCGAGAATTTGCTTGTCTTTGATGATGTACTCGTAGGTGGTTATAAGGACATTAAACTTCCCACTGCGGAGCTGCGGCACCAAAGACCTCCGCATTGATGGTGTGCCCTTAGACAAATTAAAACCGAACCGTTATTACCTCTGATTTTATTACCTTCATGTTATATTACATCATAAAATTATATCGTCCACAGTAACAAAACATAGTGATAATAAAAATCAATGGCTACCTTGTAGGCAATTTTCACAATACTTGGTGCCCACTTGTCCAGCTCATAAACCCAGTTGGACAAAGTCCTGTAAAAAAGAGGAATAAAAATCAATATTGTCATTTTTATACCAGAAGCCATTGATATGGAATAAACGTTTTACCTTTAAACGAAGTCACATCTCTAAATTATATGTGATGGTGTGATCGTGGAACAGAGTTAATGATGGATGTGAGGTGAGGCGGTTTGAGGACATTTCTGGCCCTTGCACAAATCAATCACATTAACTTAAGCTAAAACAGCGCTGATGGCCATTTTTACTATGTCCCAAAGGGGCTTTTACAGACAGGAAGTCTCTGTGACATTAGTGGGGAAGGATATCCTAGAGCAGCTTAAATGTACATTACTGAGAATATAAAACACCCCCAACTACACAAATAATTTTACAAGATGCTCTGCCATCAGAGAATCAATTTAATTCAATCTTCAACCAACCAACCAACCATGCATGATCAATATGACGATGGTTCAGTGGCCTGTAGTGCTGCCATATGTTGCCTAAAACGCAACATCATGAATCACTATCATGAATCACTATTGTGCTTTCAGTCATTAGAGGTCAACTGAACTGTTTGTAACAGTGTTTAGCTACTTAATGAAGCCATTACACCGCAAATCCTCTCAGGCAGCTCACCTCATTACACCTCTTAACACGTTATTCACAGCTTGTTTGCTGGACTTACGAGAGCGGTACAATGATGAGGTACGGCCCGTTGAGCCTCTTGTTTTCCATCAGATAAGTGATAAGTGCGATAGTCTGAATGGTCTTCCCCAGTCCCATCTCATCAGCCAGAATACCATTCAGGTTGTTGTTGTACAGAGACACCATCCATTCCAGACCCTGGATCTGAACAAAAGACTTGTTATATGGCGGTAATATCATATAAAATCATTACAAACAGACAACCGAGCAGACGCATGACACACAGATTCCACAATAGTTCATTGAACAACATGGGACAATAGACCCAAATGGTGTTTCACAGCCGCTGAGTGGAATCAAAGCATGAATCCTAGTGCTCACTTAGTTCTTTCAAAAGGATAAATAGTCTCTCTGAAGTTTTTCTTTAAAATACTCCAGCAATCAGGTTGGGAAGAAAAGAAAATTAGAAGAAAAAGGGGCTTGTTTTTCCTTTTGAAATCCATTACTGCCCAAAGGGGATAACAGATTCAATACAAACCAATTCAATTTTTGATATTTCCTCTCTGTGTGATTTCTTTCCAGCAGCCTCTTCCATTTCTAGTGTATAATGAATCCCTTGAAATATCATTTAAACCTACACAGCTCTCTTCAGAGAAGATGGATTCTGAGTATAATGCATCTGTGGAGGTGTCTGTTTAGAGTTTGGTTTAACTGTTCCTTTACCTGGTAGTGTTTGAGGGTCCCATTGATCAGTAGGGTGGACTGTTTATCCACCCTCTCTATGACCGCGTGGGCCACTCCATAGTAAGACTGGGAGCTGGTCTGTCCTGCCTGAACACTATACTCGTCATCCACATCCTGCTTAGCAGACCTGCAACACAGGGTCCAACATTAAAAGGGCTAGTTTACTCAAAAATGAAAAATCTGTCTGTCATCATTTAGCCTACCCTTCCTCGTGTTGTTCCAAGCCCAATAGACTTTCATTCATCTTCGTAACACAAATGAAGATATTTTTTAATATTCTTTCAGCACTTTTGTCTATCCATTAAAAGTTCAAGCAAATCCATTCATCATATATAGCAACTGTTGGATTAAACCGCTTAAATTATAAGGATTTATTTTACATAACTGTTTGAAGCATAAAAAAGTTTTGGTTGCATGGACGTTAAAGGGATCAACAAAATAATTAAAGAATCTTAAAAATATCTTCATTTGTGTTCTGAAGATGAACGGAAGTCTTATGAGTGAAGAACGACATGAGAGTGAGTAATAATGACAATAATTATTTTTGGGTGTACTATCCCTGTAACATACTGTATTACCACACCTGGCACTTCCACTTGAATTGTGAAAATGTACCGGCCATAAACATTTCATCCCTGTCAGGTAACTCCATTTTACACAATTTTTATGACAAATATCGGTCACACTTTAGTTTGGGGATCAATTCTCACTGTTAACTATTAACCACCACTATTGACTCACTAAACTCCTAATTTGCTGCTCATTAATAGTTAGTAAGGTAGTTGTTAAGTTTAGGTATGTGGTAGGATTAAGGGATTGAAAATATGGTCTTGCAGAATAAAGTATTAATATGCGCTTTATAGGTATTAATGAACAGCCAATAAGCTATTAATATGCATGCTAATAGACAACTAGTTAATATGAGAATTGGATCCTAAACTAAAGTGTCTCCAAAATAATTATTTTTGTGATACTTGCAACAAGCAAGGTAAAACTGTACCTTTCACTAAAACAATTTGTCTAATATGTAAAATAAATACATTAAAACTGGATGCACAACACTTTAGAAATATACATTACACTCTATATGCAGTCTGTGGCCACTTCATTATTTCCTGAAAATTCACTGGTCAGCATGGCACTATCAATGCAAAGGACATGGGTCCAATTTCCAGGGAAAATGTATAAATGCAATGTAACACTGGATATTGTAAATGACTGAATTCTTCACAGCAAGAATTCAACAAGGTGCTGGAAACAATCCATAGAGATTATGGTCAATGTTGAGTTGTTGACAAGATCTACAACTCCCCCTATGGGTCTCTCCTTTGTTGGAAACTGGCAGACACGTTCATTGAACCAGCTTGAAATGACTTGTGTGTCTTCACAAAAGGTTCTATAGAAAACACTATGCAATCAGAGGCTGTGCTGACTGGCAGCCATACGCAAGTAGGCTGTGCCTTTCAAATGATGCTCGGTTTCTATTAAGACATTTCCATCAGCCTGATCCACTGACACAAGTTATTGTAAATGAAATGATCACAGATAATCGTTTTGATGTACTCTGCTTGACTGAAACCTGCGATTTATGTTGTGAAACCTGATGTGCTCTTCTGTTGCTATAGCCCATCTAGTTCAAGGTTGAATGTGCTGTGCAGGAGAGAATGTCTGAATGCACAGCACGTAACGAGTGGTTATTTCAGTTACTTCATCTTCCTGTCAGCTTGAACCAGACTGCCCATTCTCCTCCAACCTCTCTTATTGACAAGGACTTTTCACCCACAGAACTGCCCACTCACGGGGTGCTTTTTAGTTTTCACACCACCCTCTGGAAACTCAAGAGACTGTTGTGTGTGAAAATCTCAGGAGATCTGCAGTTCCCGAGACACTGTAACCTCATCTGGCACCTACAATCACTTCACGGTCTAAGTAACATTTCTTGGCTATTCTGATATTTGAATCTCTTGACCATGTGTGCATTTTTTCATGCAGCGAGTCGCCATTGAAATTGACTGATTAGACGTTTGCATTAAGAAGCATTGTGACTTTGTAAAGCTAATGAAGTGCTCACTGAGTGTATTTAGAGGAAAACTTTAGCTAATTGCAATTTGAGATTAATTACAAAACATCTACAGGTTAATTGAGATTAATTATTTTAATCTTTTGACAGCTCTAGTAATTATAGAATTTGCGGTGAGGTTCAAAAGTCTGAGAAATTAAATCAAATTTAAACCAGTAAATAAACATAGTTTAAACAAATAAACTTTCCAACAAAGAAATGAAACTAAACTTTAAGACAAAGAAGTTAAACTAAATGAAAATGAGAAATGCTGCCTTGGAAACCAGCTGAAATAAAATATGCTTAAGATACTTTAATATAATTTATTTTATTCAAGTAACAAAAATGTTGTTTATGTCCTTAGTTTTAGTTAACAATGTTTTGAATCATCTCATATCATGGCCATCTTCAGTACTTGTTGAGTACTTAAAGTAAAAGAGAGACAAAGTGAAATACGGAATTTCCTATTTTGCTCTAATTTTTCAGCTGATAATATAATTTGCAATGAAAAAAAATCTAAAAATTGGAAAAGTGCAAAATAGAAGCATTTTCACAACTGGACTTTTGAACCCCACTATATTGTTCAGCAAAGGGCGAACTCCAGCTGAGGCAGATGCTGACAGAAATAAGAAATAAAAGAAGAACATAACAGCTATCGACACCCGAATCTTGCCGTCCTACTTTTTTTGCACTCCAGCTCAACAAGGCATTTTTTGCTTTGAAGTGAGAACAAGCAACGTACTCTATGATGTGCTTGGCTGCCGTTTCAGATACTTCATCACTGTTGGGATCGATGACTTTCTTTTCTTCCGATTCAGCTCTGGAGACCACCTCTTCATCGTCCTAAAAGGGAGTATTAGCGCATTACACTCATTTAACGCACAGTGATTGCTTGACTTCCACAATATACAGCATAAGTAAAAAATAAAAGAGCTACTAAGGCAGATGCTAAAAGGTTTATGGGAGATTATTTATGGATGCGGAGAAAAGGATAATAATGTGTGTGATGTTGTGTACTTATGTATGACTCACTCCACACCAAGGAGCTGTCAATGCTTAATTAGCAGAAATAAGGACACTCACCTCCTCTTCAAATTCCGAGCCACTCTCTTCACTGTCTGACCGTGGAGCAACTTCATAGCTGTTTTAAAGGGCATAATGCACTAGTAAACACTCAAAGCCTTAGAATGGTTTATTGACAACACAAGCTCAAAAAAGGTGCTCATTATCAAAGCCCCCCCCACACAGTTAAATAAAAAATATGCTACATAGGAGGGTTGCACAAAGCTGCTATCTCTGTTGGATAGGTCTTTCTCTATCACTTTCATCTAATGATGCACTTAAAGGAATATTCTTGGCCAAACCCGAAACGTCTGGACACATGAAAATGCTAATTATAAATGAGCCTTTTAAACACTATTCTATATTACATTTTTTAGTATTACATAAATGATTACACAAACCACAATTCTGATCAGTTCAATACTGAATTTTATTAATTTTATTACATTTATAATTAAAAAATGAAACATATTCACAGGTGAATTGTTTACAATAAGATCTATAACATGATTTATTTCATGCAGACTTTAATATTATTAAAGGGGTCATATGATGCGATTTCAAGTTTTCCTTTCTCTTAGGAGTGTTACAAGTTGATTGTGCATAGATATGATCCCTGAAGTTGCAAAGACTAAAGTCTCAAAACCAAAGAGATATTCTTTATCAAAGTTAAGACTCTGCCACGCCCCCTTAAAACCCCTCGTTCTAACACACCCCCACATATCTACATCACTATGTGGAAATATTTGCGTAATGCCGCCCAAATGTTCACGCAAAGAAAGAAGGCGTGGTTTCAGTAACCGCAGTTAGTGTTGATGCAGCCATGTCAGGGAGACGCTGTGTGTTTCTAGGTGAAAGCAAAAGCACTTTATTTGGCCTTCCGGAAGTAGATGCATTTAGGAATCTTTAAGATTACTTACAACCAGTGGTGGGCCGTCAGGGCCAGCAAAGCCTTCTCTGCAGGCCTAAACACTATCAGAATCACTGATTTAGTGTAATATATTTTTCCATGAATGTGTATTAAATTATTTCCAATAGTCTATTCTCTTCATTTCATAGCTTTTCTTTGCAAACAGCATCACTGTAAATAATTTTATTAAAACTTAGTAAAACTTTTATTACTGTTTCTCCGGTTTAGATTTTCAGCGCATTTTGAAAAAATATTTGCCTACTATATTTAGTCAATCTAAAAACAGTAGTCCTAAATTACTGCGAAAAACAACCACACACCTCCTCGGCACCGGCTCAGTGAAAGACTCGTGAAGATGAAAAACCACTAGAGTATGGTAGGTTAATTTTCATTATTGACTCTTTTATCGCTTGATGCGTTGTATGCTGAAGTTATTTGCGCGATATAAAGCCAGGTTTAAGTTTCCATAAGAATATCTCAGTTTCCCGAGTGGAGCTGTATTAACCGGTCTTTTCCTCCGGCCGCAGCGCCGCTGGCAGAGGCAGACCAGCGGGGAGACGAGAGTCACAGAGGTACGTTAAAACACAT